TCTCTCTCTCTGATCTTTGTCTTCTTTAACTGCATCTCTTCTCCTCCTCCTCCCTCTACCCCCTCCCCCTTATATCTCTCTCCTCTCCCTTTGTATATATCTTTAAATGTATAGATGTGATATTAATATGGATATGGACTTTGACATCAATTGCAGTGTAGTCATAGATATAAATATGGAAATGGACATAGACATAAGCAGAAAGGGATACAAATGTACATATATCTGAAACTCCACTTATCCTTATATCATGATATGCTGGTACTTTCTGCTCAGTTGCATTTTTAGTGCTGTCCACGACTCATCAAATGGGTTCACTGTTGGTAAAACACGTAAAACAGGTGTCTGGTATGAAGTAGACACTCAGTAACTGGCCACAGTAGTTTGCCCACTCATTCCTTCATTCTGCAGACACATACTGAGCACTCACAAAATGATTTGCACTGTCACAAATCTGGGGATACAGTACTGTGGTTAGGCATGCAGAAATAGTAGTACTAGCAGACGTGTATCGATGACATGAAAAGAACCAGGACTGTGTTAATCACTTATAAGCATGACTTATTTTGGTCATCACAGGCACCCACAAGACTATGAGGTAGGTAATATCTTAATGCCTAATTTACAAAAGTGTTACAGAAGAGGAAACCGTGACTCACCGTGTTCAACCCCTTCACCCAAACAAGCAAGTGGGGAAGTCTGATTGTAGAGTCCGCTCATGCAACCGTAATAGTTGATAGCTAGTATTTTCATTTTCTATAATGAGGACCTTAAAATGCTTAATTTTACCTCTTGTTATTGAAGCTCAGCACTCATACAGGAATGAGCACAAATCACAAGCACAGATTGCAGTAAATTAGCACAAAGCGAACACAGGGATGTAGACACCACCTGGGCTAAGAGAGGGTACAGGAGAAGCACCTCAAAGCTCCCCCTCTGTCCTTTCCAACTACACCACCTCCTTTCCATAGCTCAGCACTCTGCTCATCTAATCTCAATGATTAGTTTTGACTCGTTTTGAGCTTTTTGATAAAACGAGCCACATAAACATTAAGAACAACTGTTTGTCAAAAGACAATATTAAGAGAGAGAGAGAAGGCTACAGAAGGGGTAATGATATTTGCAAAATATATAACAAAGAGCTCATCTTCAGGATATGTAAAATTATTATAAAAAATAATGAAAATACAGTAAATTCAATAAATGTTGAGGAAGAGACACAAACAGGCATTTGTAAAATATTTATTGACCAACTGCTATACACCAAGAAGTCTTCTAGGAGCTGGGATAAATCAATAAACAAGACAGCATTGTTTTGGAGAATTCCTCTTTTTTCCAGTGAGGGGAATAGCCAATGAATAGAAGAATAAGGTTTCCATTACAGATAAGAGCATTGAAAACAAAAGAATCTGTGGTAAGACCCACTGGCACCCCTGCTAGTGTCCCATGACCCTGATAAGTGATCTGGGATGATCTTAAGGTCCTCGGCTTAAATGGACGACCCTGCGTGGGATTACTGGGGGTCAGGATTAAAACCTTAGGCTTTGAGGGGGATATAGGGGTGCCTGGCATCCCCTCAGTTAGAGTGGGTGACTCAGCGGTGTCAGTGAGGCTCTGGGCAGAGCCCTATACCCCCAGGGGAGGTGTTGAGGTTCTCTGTAGCTTCACTGTTGAAGTGGGCAATATTGAGTGGAGTCATTCAATTGGTGTGTGGGGCTATATACTTTCAGGAGGGACATTAGGATGGCCTGTGGCACCACTATTGAAGTGGGGCACTCTGGGTAAGAACTACTGTTAGCAGTTTTAGGTGGGACCCTTCATCTCCAAGAGGGATGTTGGGGTTTTCTATAGCTGTTCAGCAGGAGTGGCTACTCTGGCTGTGGTTGCTGCAGTTGTGGACAGGCCCCTATGACCCTAAGCATTACTGGGACACTCTGGATCTCCTGAGCTTAGGTGGGCTGCCCTGCAAGATGTTTCTGGGGCTGTGTGGTCTGCTGTGCCCCCAAGAGAGATGTCAGATCCCTCTGAAACCCCCTTGCTGGGGCAGGCAGCCCTGGGAGGGCTCACCAGTGCTGCAGGTGTGTCTGTGCCCAAGAGAGGCATACGAACCCTCCACACCTCTTCATGGCTGTATGAATTGCAAAAGCACTTCACCAAAGAAGATGAGGATTACAGCAGTGGCTAAATGCTCTGATTAGGCAGGTTTCTGACTCTGTTAAGTGTGCACACTGATCCCTTCCATCCTGAGAGGGGCTCCCTTGCTGCACTGAACCAACTATTCCGAAGGGCACAGGATGCTCCATGGAATTGGGTGTGGGCAACCCAGTGCAATGATGTGGCCACAGGGGAGTGAAACTACTGTCAGGGCCAGAGTGGGATGATCTCGGGTGTTGGGGCCAATCTCAAATCTGCAACCTGCACAGAACCCTGGGGCCTGGGGAGTAGAGACGGTTTAGCATGTGTCCCTCTCCGGGTCAATGCAGTCATGTGTACCTCCAGGATTTCCCAGCATCAGGCACGTGGTCACAGAGGCCAACCCTGAGAGAGGCTCATGGATTCTCTCCCCCCTCTTGGCTATCAGTATTGTATGGGTGTCCTGCCATTGTAGGCAGGGTCACCAGCTATGGGCACTGGACCTGAATAAGCTGCCTTTAGGGTCTGGAGGGTGTGCACACCGACCTCCTCTGTCCTGAGGATGGCACCCTCACTGCACTGGACCATTTGTTCCCAGGGCACAGGGTTAAAGCCAAATCAATGGTATTGGGACTAATCCCAATCCCAAACCCAACCCAGCAGTCTGGAGCCAGCACGTGGGGGAGATCCAGGTGTGTCCCTCTCCAGGCCAACACAGCTGCACGTGCCCGCAGCAGTTCCCAACACTGCAAGCACAGCTGCAAGGGCAGTGCAGACTCTCGTGTGGGTTGGGCCACCTGACTGCTCACCTTCCCGTGGTCAGAAACTCCACTCAGGGTTGGGAGAATTTTTCCATTTTATTTGCGACTGAGTTTCCGCACTCACCCATGTCTCCAGTACTCCTTTGATGTGTTCCTGCTCCCTCCTTTTGTTTTTCTCGTCCCAAGTGCAGTTGCATGTTTGCTGCCTTCTCTTTCTTTGTGGGAGAGAGAGCAATGTCTCCTTCCAGTAGGCCATCTTGCTCTGCCCCCTGTATGATTCCATTTATATGAAATATCCAGAAGAGACAAATCCATAACGAGAGAAAGCTGCTTCGTGTTTTCCAGTGGCTGGGGAGGGAGGAATGGAGAGTGATGGTTTAATGGGTATAGCTTCTCTTCTTGCTCTGCCCCCTGTATGATTCCATTTATATGAAATATCCAGAAGAGACAAATCCATAATGAGAGAAAGCTGCTTCGTGTTTTCCAGTGACTGGGGAGGGAGGAATGGAGA